ACCTCTCGGGGTCATTTTTGCAAGCCCCAGTTCCACTCCGGCCCCTCAGCAAATAATTCCCCTCCAAAGAAGATTATCAAGAAAAAAACTATTCCCAGTCTTGGAGATCTCCAGGAGCAGCAGTTTTTTTTAATGGGCTGGTGGACCCTCAAAACTTCCTAACTGTAAATATTTTTACAATACAGAGATAAAAGCTTTGATCTTAATGTGTGTATATTTGTATAGGTTTATCTTTTAAAGCTTCATGTAAGGAAGCATCGGATATCTCCTGGCACAAGCAGTTCTTCTTCCACTTCCTCAGGCTGGGTTACATGGTGGTTGCAGGCTTTGCCATGCCTCCTGTGTCCTTTGAGAAGATAGACATTGGAAGGCATTAGGACCTCTCAGCCAAGTTTGCAAATGTCAGAATAACCTGTGCCTGATCTAAAGGTTTTAATTTTGCTCTTCCACGTGGCAGAGTCAAGTCCTCTCCATCAGTCCACCAATAGGATAGTGTACCTTAACCATAAGTAGAAACAGATAACTAGTCACAAAATCCTGTCACATTGTTCAAATTGCAGTGAGGCAATCTGGTTCTTAAACTTGTCACTAAACAAAGAACAGTAGAATAAAGAAGGCCATTTCTATGTAACCTGAAGGGAAGGGGGCATTATAAGTCATATATTCCTTCATCAATAAAGTATAAAGACATATTTAACTGATTCTAGCCAGTTTACACTGGCTACCAGTTGTTGCCCGGGCGCAATTCAAAGTGCTCGTTTTGACATATAAAGCCCTAACGGCTTGGGCCCTGAATACCTGAAGGACCACCTCCTTCCATATAAACCTCCCCAGCAACCGAGATCTAGCCAGAAGGCCCTCCTAAAAGAGCCATCCCTCAGTGAGGTGAGAGGGATGGCCTGTAGCCAGAAGACCTTTTTTGCAGCTACCCCCAGTCTTTGGAATGCCCTCCCAAACGACATCCGACTGGCACCGATGTTACTGGCATTTCGGCACCAGATTAAAAACTTCCTGTTCTGGCAGTTTTTTTAACTGAAGTTTTTAATTGAAGGTTTTTATTTTAATTAATAAGTCATGGATCTAGATTGTTTTCGTAGATTATTTTTGTTTTTGTTTTTATTTTTGCTTTTGTAGAGTGGATGTGGCCATATTGGTTTTTAGTGTCTGTTTTTAACTGAACTGTTTTAATTGATGCTGGAAGCTGCCTGGAGACTCTTGCAGAGTGCAAAGTCAAATAAACAAACAAACAAACAAATGAATAAATATTGTGCAAACCACCTAACATAGCTAATAATGTCTGGTAAGTCGCTCAGTTTTTTGAATTTAGAAACATAGTGAAGTTTTATTTTGTTTGAAGCTAAACGATTAAATTCAGTTTAGGATATGGCACTATTGTAACTAGAGAAACCGGAGTAATGTCTTTGAGATTACTGTTATCCTTTAATTAATTAATTAATAGGAATAGACCTCAACAGATGGGAAACTCTGACATCTGATCGTTCAGCCTGGAGGCAGGCAGTGCATCACGGCCTCTCCCAATTTGAAGAGACCCTTGTCCAGCAGGCTGAGGCAAAGAGGAAGTCACAAAGGAAGCAAAACCAGGGAGCTGGACAGGAGGCAGATTGGATTTGTCTCCAGTGTGGAAGGGATTGTCACTCTCGAATTGGCCTCCTCAGCCACACTAGACACTGTTCCAAGTCCTCCATACAGAGCACGATACCATAGTCTTTCGAGACTGAAGGATGCCTACTACTACTAATCTTTATAATAATAGAATAGCAATCCTATCATTGAAAAGTTTGAAAATGGAAAGCTAGTGGTTAAATATACATATATGTCCATAAGGAGCTGCAGTGAAAATGAGAAGGTAGAAAAGCTTCATGATGTAAATGGAAATCTGCTGACATTTCTCTAGATTTAGATTTCTGTTAGGAAATACTGTTGCACAAAGAGAGTGTAGGCTAATCTTGTTCCTAATTTGCTGAGGAGCATTAAGATTAAGGTGTCTGGAATAATGAGTTTAGATCTAATTCATTGATGTACACATTAGAATGAGGGAGATTAGTTCACTGTTCTTATTGCATGGTAAAAATCTATTAAGTTGTTAAATTATTGTTGATTACTTTGTTAATCAAATTGTTAGTTTTGGAATAGTAAGTCACAACTAGAGAGGGGGTTTTCGTATACAAATCCGAATATCCTCAGACAGCCGGACTTAAAGAGGGGCCAGCCCCTATGGCCGGCTCGTCTACTCACGTGTCTACCAGCAGTGGTGGCCTCACTCTTCCTTCCAATTGCTAGCGGAGCTCTGGGACTAATTGGAAGGATGAACGAGGCTGCTGCTGGTGGCGGACGCATGAGTAGACATGCTGGCCACAGGGGCCGGCCCCTTGTTAAATCCAACTACACAGGGATAGTTGTATTTGTATACAAATACAAGTACCTCAATCTCTAGTCACAACTAGAGTAGTCCCATTTGAATCAATGGAATTTACAGAGGAATTGACTCATCAATTTCAATGTCTTGAGACTGCTGAAGTTCCAAGTAACAATTATGGCATATCGAATTTACAGAGGAATTGACTCATCAAATCCTTACTGATTCCATGGGCCTACTCTTGTGAAACTGGCTGTGCTAAGCAACAGAATTTCAATGTCTTGAGATTGCTGAAGTTTCAAGTAACAATTATGGCATATCTTTAACAGGAGAATATTAAACATGTTAATATGAACTGATCATGAGTGAAAGTGAACAAAAGTTGCCATTGCTATCTGCGATAAATTTTTAAACAATGTACCTGATGGGAAAATTAATTATGTTTCAATTGGATCTTCACTCCATATATGTGAACTCCATGTATTTCCTGATTCTTAAACATGGGTTGTCTGGTGTGCAAATAATATTTTAGAGATTCAGAACTCCCTGCTGAAACCCCCAGGAAAAATGGTCGTCCTAGAAATGAGGGATGAAAGCCTACGCCTGCTTATCTAGGGCTAAACTCCATTGAGCTCACTGAGTAGGCATGCCTGTTTATGTGCCGCTCTTTCATTGAGGGTGTGCTTGTTTTTAAATGAAATTACCTAGGCAGGGTCTACACTGGGTCATTTTTTTCCAAAATCCCTATATAGGTCCAGTGCACTGTATGCAAAGGAAGTAACCAAGATTCCTGTTTGGCCAAGAAACTTCACTGGGGGTGGCATCTTGAACATATGACATACATTCCTGAACAACTCACATATCTTGAAAACCCTATTAGGGTCACTATAAATTAGAATCAAATTGACAAGGCCTAACCGCAACCACATCAATGTGAGAAAACTTCATTAATGTTACGGTAAAAATGTTAAAGTATTAAATTATTGGCATTATGCCTGAATTAAGGAAGCAAAAACAAATTCCATTTTAGCAGATGAAAAATTATGATTTGCAGTAGCTGGTTGGGCTTTCACTTCCAGGTAGAGTGGGGCATCTCCGCATGACATATGACATGCACACCCATTGAGCCTTACTTGCTTTTAGAATCAACACATTAATAGGGTGGGACCAAAATAAGCAGCTTGAAAGCAAGAGATTAAGAGGAGATCAGCAAGTACAGAACCTTTGCATTATGCTTCTCAAGTTAGTGAGCAACTTCTTAAGCATCAGAAGGCAGACGGCTGGGGCTTTCAAGAGTGCTTCAGTACCTACAGTATGTGCACAAAAGGGAGAATGATTTCATATGTTGCAATAATGCTGTAACCATGTCAAAGGCTGTCTTCCACATATCACTGATCCCTTTTGCAGCATGTTTCAGTTGTAACCATAAACGTATAAATGCCCTGTGGAACAACAAAGAGATTATGAGACCAAATGCAACAGATTCTCTTCTGAAACTCCAAATAACAGAATTCCAACCAATCTTCTATAGTAGCTTTCAATAATTACCTTGCTAACAGTCAGCATAATTTGATTTGTTTTCTACTGTTTGGAAAACTATTGCTCCAATTCTGTTGGTCATTTACCATCTGCTAATTTAACACCAGCGGTGAACTGAAAGAGAACGGAAAGTCAAAAATGAAGCAATCAAATTATTGGGTGAATGATTTTTACATTTCATTTGTATTTAAAATATATAAAATGAGTCTTGGATTACAATTTTGAATATGATTACCAACATCAGCGTTATACTGCATACATGGAAGCTGTTCTCTGCACATGCATCCCCTTTCAGCGTTGTGATGACATCCCCACTTTGCACTTGCTCCATCGAAACAGGTGGCAGAAGCTAGCATACTAAATTGATACTACCAATGATTTTGATGGTGCATGAAAGTTAAAATTTTGGACTGTATTTCTTAGAATACCCAATCATCCTGCCTTCCCTCAGTCTGGGGATGCAAACCAAAGCAGTAATGTTTCCAAGTTATGCTAGCAAGTAGACATCCATAAATTAGCTTTATGCGTGGAACTAACTCCACTGATTCTCAAGCAGTGTGTTCTATTTCTGGGTTAAATTTGATGCTTCTAGTTTAGCAGAATGGCCGTATTATTCTTCTGTAAATCATAGAGCAACACTCAAGAAGAAGATTTCTTTAGACCTATTCCCCCCCTTCTATTATTTTTGCTATTGAATGGCAGAGAGTCTTGTGAGGTCTTTCTAATTCAATATTAATTTTATAAATGGCTTCCCTCTTCCTTAGTTCCTATGAAAAGGGTATTAAGTTCGATGAAGACTCTTAGAAAATTGTAATAGAGTCCTTGAATTCAGCTGCTGGGGTGGACGAGATTTCTGTCTAATGGAAGCTGTGAATATATATCAAACATTTTGTGTCTTTGAGGCAATTCTTGCTGCAAAGACACAAAAGAGAAGTTACTGTTTAATGAATGGAAAAAAGGTGTGCTCCTTTTGTCTAAGATTTTTTATTCATGTGTTTATTTGTGTGCTCTTCTACTTTCTCTGTGTCTTTAGGCTCAAGGCTAGAATGTTTAAATTGAAACTCTCCCTTTCATCTTTCCACAGTCTTTTCCTGGCCCAAGTCTTGAAAGTGAAGATTTTAACATACCTCCTATCACTCCACCATCATTACCTGACCATTCACTTGTGCATTTGAATGATACAGAATCTGGTTATCCTTCACTTTGTCACCCTATCAACCATAATGGCCTGCTCCCATTCCATCCTCAAAACATGGACCTGCCTGAAATTACAGTCTCCAATATGCTTGCCCAAGATGGAACACTGCTTTCAAATTCACTGTCTGTGGTAAGCCTTTTAAATGTGTGTATATCTATCTATCTATCTATCTATCTATCTATCTATCTAATTTATTTCCAAGTATGTTTTCATTGTGCTTCTAGTAATGTATGTAGTTCTATTTACAGAATTGGGAGAAGGGGGGACTGTTCTGTAATTTTCTTTATGAGCAGTTTTATAGACTACATCTGATGCTGAATAAATAATATGTTTGGCTGTGGCAGGAATCAGGCTCATCAAAAGAAACTATTATTCTTACATTACCACCCCCCACCCCCACCAAAAAACAGATATATTTGTTCCTAATGCCAGTTGTGTTTTGACTCCTGGTGATGTTGTTATGAGCATAACAAAATGGTCCGAATGCGCAATTTGTGTCTCTCAAATTTATGAGGTAATGTGGCAGCAGCAATGAGGCAGTCTCATGGCTGGCATCTGTGCAGGATTCTCCACCATCTTATCTGCAGAACTTCGTATACAAAGTCCCCTTGGGCCATAATTGTCAGAAGACCTGATGTTTCTATAACAAAGGAAGCACTCCCCAAACTGTTGGCACTTCATAGGCTGAGGAAGGGTGTCAAGCAGGTTATTATCTGAACTACACGAGGTCTTTTAAGGAAACGTACTTGATTATTATTAAGGACAAGTATTATGAGCTCGAAATACTTGCAGTCTCCAAAGCTGACTAATGTGAGCTTGAGTGACATCACTAGGTTAGATTAAAAGCTGCATTTACGTACAAAGCTATTTGCTTTGAGTTGCACAGGGTATGATCAAAAGTAAGCTATCATGTCCTCAGGTTTCTTAGTAGTCAAATGTAGCTCTCATTTGTACCTCTGGGAAGATGCACAGCTACTACTGCTTTTTCGTTTTTATTATTCCCGCATATGTTGTTCCTTTCGGTGGATTTTGAAAGTGCTTGAGGATTAGATGGGCCACTGAATTTTATATTTCCTCATGGAGGTCAAAGCTTGACCACAGACATTATTTTCTGCTGGGATTAAAAAAATATTTAATTCTAGGGACTACTTCAGCTTGCTTAGATGTCGTTTTTAGGGTGAAAAAAGTTATCTTAGCTTTACATAAAGAACAGTACCTGAAGATGGTAAGGGTAGCATTTGACACTTCAACAGAGCGCTCCAGTGGTGCTTCACTGTCTTGACCTCTTCTGTACTGAGGTTAGAGTTTGAAAGCTTGGTATTCCCAAATGTACTGAAGTTTCTTATTTACCTTTTACAAAGAAATAGGAACGATAGAACTCTGAGTGCTTGTAGATTGTCACACCGAGTAACTGGAGCAAGGTAAAGTAGGTAAAGGCCAAGTGGTATAACAAGTCAAGCTTCTTTTGATTCTCAATATATAAACAGGGAGAAGGAAAGTCATTACTTGAAGGTACAAAAAAAAGCAGCACTGAGAACATGTTGCTTGGGTTTGTTTTAAAAAAAGAAAAGGTGACGAATGATGATAATCTTCTTTCTTCTCTTTATGGAAGCATCTCAGCTTTTCTAAAAGAAAGATAATGGAACTTTTTGTCATCAGGTTTATCTTAGAGATTCAAGTTTCTGTGTGTTAATATTTGGTGCCTGGAAATATTTCAGTAATCTGAAAAGGGATTTCAAACCTCTGTGCATGCTTCTGATGAAATTTGCTCTTACTTGAAAACGTGAGCTAGTACTGTTGTCTACAAGTTTTTGTTTTGCAATGTTGGAATAGGATTGCTATTTCTTCTCCATCACACATATATATACTCACACACATATACACTGTGGACATATAAACATCCGGCAGCTGAAAGAATTGGCTGGTTTGAGATCTTGGCAATTGCAGATCTGGAAATGTAGAGGGAATCCATGGGATATGATAGTAAAAATCAGAGATCCCATTATTGGTCAGTCTGGAACATAATTGCTGTTCATAGTCATCTGGGTCCAAAAATTTCAGAGCAGGTTTTCTTTCTCCTGCTTCCAATTTCTTCCTATTTAGGGTCAGGCACATGGGGTGGTCAGTAACATGTAGAGCTGCAAAGAAGCAAATGAAAGTGAAGGGTGCATAATAATATGCTCTCTTTTTGACAATGTTTCTGTTATTTCAGATGAAGCCTCTTTCTTAAAAGTGCAGTTTCATGTAGATGTGCTGTAACATGTGGCTGTAACATAAAGCTAGAAATGTTTCATTCTGAAATATAGGAGGTACATGCTGGTTACGTCCCTAATTTACACCAAATATACTGTGTACATCCCTAATTCATACCAAACATACATAATCACTTGGTTACAGTATTTTTATTTTTTTCCCCATCTTGAACCCTATTACTATAGTTGCTTTTTATTTTATTATACAGTACTGTTTTTATTCCATTTTTATTGTTAGCCATCCAGAGTAGACTTGTGTCTAGATGGGTGGGGTATAAATGAATGAATGAATGAATGAATGAATGAATGAATGAATGAATGAATGAATGAATGTGTCCACAGCAACCAATTCTTTGGAGTCAAGAGAACATTGTGCTTCTGTCTTCTCTGCCTACTGTTGCTCAAGATACAATTCAAGCTCACAACTTTCAGTGAGTCTGAGGCATATATTTGGTACGCTTCTCAGATCATCCTGAAATTTATCAGAGCCACACAGCCAACTCTTATGCCATTTCTCACATTTCTCAGCAAGTGGAGATCTCAAGCTGTATTGTTGATTGCCCGCTGTAATGTTGGTAAAGATAGCATCTAGCAGGTGAGCAACTGATACGGTTTAATCCCCTCCTTCCACCTTGTTCTGTTGTGTATTGCTTCACTCTGTCAGCCACTGTTATGGTCCCAACTTCCTTTTTCTTCACACTTTTTCTGTCTCTGTGGAGATACAAGAACAGGGCCCATTACCAAAGTAACTTCCATTCCCATGAAAGAGAGGATTAACCTTGCATTTTTATGCATCAGCATGGTAGCCATAAGCAGTCAGGAATTGCATACAGGCAAATGGGCTGATAAAGAAGGGATGGCAAGTTGTATCCTTCCTCTACATCTGGCCTATAAAGGTAACTCTCACCTACTCCACGTCTGCCAGCTCACATCAGCCTGTTTTCAAAATATGCAGGCTAGTGCCCGGCAAGGGGGAAGTTTCTTGTATGAGGTTCCACAACAGTGTACAGTGGGGTCTTGACTTGAGAACTTAATCCGTATTGGAAGGCGGTTCTCAAGTCAAAAAGTTCGCAGGTCAAATCTGCATTTCCCATAGGACTGCATTGAAAACCATTTGATCCGTATCTGCTCTTTTCCGTCCATAGAAACTTATGGGAAGCTGCTATTCTGCCTTCGAACACTAGAGGGGATATTTTGTTTCTTTTTTTCTTAGGTGAAGAAAGGTTCAGGGAAGGCAGGGAAAATACAGTCCAGGCAGTACAGTTCCAGGCAGTCTGAAGACTGTCTCCCAGTCCACTCTCTAAACGCTGGGAGAAGTGACGAAGCAGACAGGCACCCTTTTCACTGGCCAACAGTTAACAGAAAGTTCAACTTTTGCACTTTCCCTGCCTCCCGCGTGGGTTTTTCAGTGTTTTTCAGTTCGTAACTCAAATCTAAGTACGCAAGTCAAGTCAATATTTTCCTATGAGAGCAGTTCGTAAGTCAAAATGTTCGTAACTCGGGCCGTTCGTAAGTCAAGACCCCACTGTATAGAATTGTCCTCACTGGTATATAGGAGCACCTGGAGCAATCCACAAGGCAGATACAAAGACTGAAGGACACTGCCAGCTGTCAACTCCTGAGTCAGTATAAATACATTCATCTCTCTTTCTGCTGCTACTCAGCCTCGCATCGCTGCCCAAACATGCAGTGTGATGGTTGTTGTGGGTTTTTCGGGCTCTTTGGCCATGTTCTGAAGGTTGTTCTTCCTAACGTTTCATCAGTCTCTGTGGCCGGCATCTTCAGGGGACAGGAGTAGCACTCTGTGCTCTGGTGCAGTTTGTTTGGAATCCTTTTGCCGTCTTGCATTTTCACTTCAGCTTTTGTGAAAGCCTATTTGGCCTATTCTACAAGTGATAGACTAGATCTCAGAAATTATTTTGTCCTATCTAAAATGGGCCCTCATTGTCCCAGCCTAAGTCTTGAATCCATCATCTATCTCACCTTTTCTTTTTCTGTGACAGTCTGAAGTTCTTCTGTTTCAGAAACATTAGTAGCTAAAGCAATTCAATACAGCACTTACTAGATTATATAGAGATAAAACAGCATTCACCTGACAATAGTTGTTTGGCAAAGGGTTTTTTTTTAAAGTAACTATGATTACTTTTTTTTTTTTAGAGAGAGAGAACATCTGTGTTTCTTTAAACATCTGTTATCTGCATCACAGTTAAAAGGTCTATTGTCTGCATCACAGTTAAAATACAGAACATTTTTTAAACATTACGGTAAAGTATGGAAAATACAGAAGGAAAAGATAAGATGGATTTCACTTTCTCTCAATGCTTTAAATTTTTAAATTGTGGGAAAAGACACTAAAAGACAGTAAAGAGGTGGATTTATTTTCCAAATGCTTTTTTTGTATTAACAAAAGCTGAGATAATGTGTGTTTATTATCTAACTTAGCATATAGTCAAAGCACACTTTAAATTCTAAAGGCTACTGAGCATGTGTTTTGACATTGATCACATTAGTAAGTAGAATGCAGGACATATGAAATGAAAGCAGCAATTTTTCTATAGGTCTATTAGGACTATAGCACATCCATGAATTTAAATGCATTTATAACCGTATTTCAAATGTGCTGCCATTATAGAAAAGCCTTCTGGTGTCTTGAATAACATCTCCTTCAAATCTTAGCAGAAAACATTATAAATCATTGTTATTTCTACCTTTAATACTGAACTGAGAGAAAGGTGAGGTTGAAATGAAATGAAATAAAGAATTATAAATAAATAGCCTGCGCTCTCTTCAGTAGACAGAATCTTACTGGTATTTTAGTCCAGAATAAAGGAAAGCATGTAAGCTGCGGTGGCAAATTACAACTAATTAATGAGGTGC